GCCTAAAAAGGCTAAAGCGATATCCTTGAGGAGAGCAGCACAGGATACAAAGTGCAGAATCCAAAATTTATTGAACAAATAAACAATTAAAACAGGGACAATACGCAGTGTATAAATAGTAAAATATACCAGGCACTAAGCCTAAATAAAACACCGCAGAGTAAATACGATAAGGCCCCAGATACAATACTTTGGTCTAGCAGCAACCGCGTTTCAACTCCCGCCGGAGTCTTCCTCAGTGCACCATTAACATAGGCCTCATCCGACCTCCAGCAAGCGCACCCATCCCCCCGAGATAACTAGGCCACATCCAGCCAAACCCCAAGGTGAACTGGAATCCCCCAAGCCCCCAAAACAAAACTAGAAAAACCCATCTCGTCCGATTCCCGACGGCATTGTACCAAGGGACTCACATTGCTGAGCGCACTGCCAACAGGAACGGGTGATAGCCTCAGCCTGGCCCCTGAGAACCTCTGGGAAGAAACAGAATGCGTAACATGTCCAGATTTAAGAGCCCCAAATCCCAAACAGACACCGAACCCAAACATTCCACCCAGACTGATGACAAAAAAAACAGCACCTCAGGAGGCAGGACAGCTGACTCAGGACGAGGAGGAGCCACACCCCCCTCACGTATCTGGCGCCAGATCACTGAACCTCCACTCCCGAAGGGGTAAGATCCAACCACTTGCCCCCCGCCTCCTGTCCCAAATTACATATGAGCATCCCACCATCCCTACACCGGCAGGGTGAACCCAAGGGACCTACCACCCTGACCCCCACCATTCAAGCCCTGTGAACCAGTGGCGCAAGCACGCCAAGCCTGGCGGCGCCTGTAGCCGCCCCTAACCGGACTGAAGTCCCCTGAACTCTCCACCATCCTTACCCAGGAATTCAAGCCCCTATTGGAGCACTCCAATGACATGGACACAGGAGAGAAAACCCGGCTTTGAGAACCAAACCAGGGGTGAGGAGGCCGAATTACCCAGGGGCGGAATAGCCCTCCCCGAAGGAAAAACAGGACACATGTCGGAACCCGGCACTCCCCCCAATCGGATCGGTATAAATCCAATTATCTTGGGAATCTAGTATATCCTTGTAACGGAGCTCCCTGTACTCCGACCGAGTACCCTCCGTTGATGGATGCTCCTAGCACTTCCTGAGGACTCCAAACACTGCAGCAGACACCACAACCACCGCAGACTCCACAACTGCTATAGCTTAACTGGAGTCTCGCCGTCTTCCTTCCACCCTGGATCAGCTTCTGTCCTCCAGGACCGTGTGGGGAAGACCTCTCCTCCAGTAGAGCGTAACAGGAACAGCTCTTAAAAGAGCTAAGTGATTAAAAGCTCAGGGGAATATGCAGAGGATAGCAATCCCCAATGTGATATAGCAGTTCCCTCCAATAACGAGACAAGGCTACGTATTGAGGGTCAAGAAGATCTGTTTACTTGGCACCAAAGGGCCTTTTTTTATGCAGGTTTAACACATACAGGACCACCCACAGGGGTTTACAGAACAACCAATCATAAACGTACATTACAGAAACACTCCCAGCAATTACACACAAAAATCCTCCCCTCTGCCTGTGATCTAATTATGGCACACAATGCTTAACATAATTATCACAAGCAGGAAAAATACAGTTTTTATACATGTACTATAACTTTAAAACTACACATCCAATCTTCATTACATATTTGGAATCAGCACCCTTTAAATATAAACATAACCAAAAATCAGACAAATCCATCCAGGGGTTAAAAAGTTAGCTGGAGGTCCCTTTATGACTGACCGCAAGCACATTTTCCTGCCCAAAACAGTTCCATAGATTTGGGCTGTGCGGTCGGTCTATTTCAGGCTGAAAAAACAACTAAGTCCCATCGCCGATTGGGACTTAGTCTCTGGAGCTGAAATCAGGCTGAAAAAACGGCTGAAAAAATGACTAAGTCCCATCGCCGAATGGGACTTAGTCTCTGCAGCTGTAAGATCAGTAGGGGAGAAGTTAGAGCTCAGCGGTGTTCGCGGAAATGTGTAGCCGATTTTAGTTCTATGAATTTGGCTACGCATACCGCTGACCTCGTTCGCATTAACAAAGATGGCCGCCGCCACGTGTTCGGCAAACGAACAAAGGCCACCCAGCATTGTCAATTAAGCTGCGGTTAACCACAGCTTCTGAGAGGTAAATTGCCTGCACACTTCCACTTCTGGGTGGTCTGCCTGTGTGGTACTTGGTTCAGTAAGCCCCATTTACTGAACCAAGTGGGAAATCGCCAGGCACAAAGAGTTTTAACCAGGTCTGGGGACACAGGGGACACCGTCTTAAAGGGGCAGTGTCCCAAACAAGTCTAGGGACACCGTCTTAAAGGGGCAGTGTCCCAATCTTCCTGATGTCCCAAAAGGTGTTTAAAGGGCCAGCACCAGTCCCATAAAGAGTCCATAAGCCCCAATATGCCCACTGGCTGTCTTAAAGAGCCATATTCACTTTTTTTTTTTTTTTATTCCATTTGGTAATTTACATTTTATTTCTGTCCTGTAATTTTTCTTTGTCTTTTAAAAAAAAAAAAATTTATATTTTTTTGTGCTAAGAGGACTAGACTGAATAAAAGAAGGAACAAAGTACGCACGCGAAGCGCTAAAAAGGAGGGGGAAAATGTACTCACCGGTCGCAGCCTGACGATCCGAGCCCAGCACTGCGCTCACAGAAGGCTGAGGCAAAGAAAAGCAGTTCCAGCGTCCACAGAAGACATCAGTTGTGATCCAGGCGCCACCTGCTGGACGGGTCCATGAACTGCGGCAGTGTCCTGAGAAGAAGCAGCAGAGAAGATGAGGGTAGATGAGGGTAAGCTGGGCCCCATGGCAGAACGAACGTAACCAGCAGGGGAAAGATGGGGAACATGGGAGACAGAGCCCTGGGAGCCTTCCTCACTGGCAGAGGAGGCTCCCGACGGGCAAGGGGACCCCCTCCGGCAGCACAAAGGTACCCCGCGTTGCCCGCGAGGGCCCACTTACCGCCTCACCTCCCCACCGGCCACGGGGGGACCTGGACCATTGCCGGACGGCCACCTAGCAGCATCCGCCACCCACCGCCCCCGGCCTACAATCCAGTGCTGGCGGCCGAGGCGAATGGTGATCCAAGGGTAGGCCGCGCGGCAGCCGCACTAGGAGGCCACGCGGCAGTAGTAGGCCACATCCCCGGCCTGGAAGTACCAGGCCGAGCGGCAAAGGAGGCGGCAGGCCGCGCAGCAGTGGCAGGCCTGGTGGCAGAAGGTCGTGCCACGAGCGCGGCCGCAGAAGGCCGCAAATCATGGCCACTGGTGGGAGGCCACGTGTCTGGAGCCCCAGACACGTGGTCCTAGTGGTGCCTCGGGCCCGGCTCCTGATCCTCAACCGGGCCCAAGGAGTGTGATCTGGAGACAGCCTGGCAGGCGGGACGGAACGCCTGCCAGTGCTGGAGCGGCCCCCAGGGGCAGGGACCGCATGGGAGGCAGCAGGGAAGACCGCAGGGGGTGCTCCAGGGGAAGGTAGGCCACGGGGGGGGGCCCACACCGGTAGCCATACCTCCAGTAATGCTTGCAAATTGCTCCCTCAGTTGCCGGCCACCATTCAGCGCTGCATCAGCCCTGAGGGAAGCCAGGATAGCCTCAACCTCCATCCCTCAAGCTGTGTAAATCTGCAGGCCCAGGCAAACAGGAGCAGGAGGACAGGAAGCTGTTTGCTGGCCCGAATCCCAAGTGGCACTGAGGTAAGACCTCCCCCACACTAACTTACACAGAACATAATCCCACCCACATTCTCTTTCCCAACAAATCCCATGCATCTATCCCCACACTCCTACATGTGCCCTTGTCCGCTTAGCTGCGCTATCTCCCCAGGGCCTAAACCTGGAAATAGAGCTATATGTCTGTTCAACCATGAGTTATCCCTTTAACATTAAGTGCACTCACTTTGTATGAAACATACTTTTATATGAATACAATCTAACTAAATATGAGAAATTAAGAAATTGTGTTATTTTCCAAGTTCAGCATGGCAGTTTTTACTCTGTATATCATAACATTTTTAGATTTTACTGCCACAATTATGCATTTGTGTATTCTGTGATGTCCTACGAGTACAACAATTCACCCAATGTACAGGTTTACTCGGTTTACTGAAATTACAGGGACAAATATGTCCCTCAGTCTTAATTTATGGAAATGTGACAAATTGATTTTCTGAGCTTATGTTGCATTTGAGGCAGTATGGCAGCCCAGAACAGAAACTTACCCTCAAGATGGCATACCATTCATAAAAGTAGAAAACCCAACACTAAATTTGGCCAGGTAGTCACAAAATCTGGCCAAATTTAGTGTTCATATATATATATATATATATATATATATATATATATATATATTTGTTTTGCATTTTTCACTCAAACACTGCAATTCCACTGATGATTTATTCAAACTTATATGTTTTACTACTCTAAAATCCTCATATATGTGTTCAGCGATGTCACATGTACAATAATACCTGCAATGTACAGGTACTTTGAGGTTTTGTAAAGTTACTGGGTCAAATATAGGGCCATTTCAGTACTTACACATTGAATTTTGCAAGATTGGTTTGCTGGGCCTATGTTGCTTTTGACAAAATATGGCAACCCAGGAATGATTACCCTCATCATAGCATACCATTTGCAAAAGTAGTCAAGCCAGGGTATTCCAGAAGATCTATATCTAGTCCTTTTTAGTAGCCATGTAGTCACAAAACATGGAAAACTTTTGTGAACAAACAACAACAAATAGGGGATGAGAGCACACAATAAAGTTAATACTACTAACCACTGGAATACAAATTCAGCCTACAATACAAACAAAAAGGAGGCGATGTTTGACCTGCATGGATAGAGGATTTGTGAGCTGAGAGCTCCCAACTTAAACTAGGCTGGGCCAACTTCAACAGAGAAGGAAATTGCCCATAAATGTTGAATTTCATCTCCAAGTATCAGCATGTCACCATCCAAACACGTGAGAGATAGCACTTGGGGTGCTGAGGCAGGAGAAATCTAAACTGGGCTGCGGCGGTGTGCACCATGAGGCACCATTGCCATATTCTGATATGGCATCAGAATTAGAAGTATGGGCCCAACTTTCAGAATCATCTCCAGTCTCAATCCACATGATGTTGCAGGAGCTCTGCAAAAGGATTGGATGAGCATCAATGCGGCTATACACTGCAACCTCCAACTCCTGGGTAAGAGAACAGACATGGTAGAAACCACTGTGGATGAGCTATGCCTCACTCACAATGAGGTTGTGAACAAGCTAACCCACTCATCTGCAGAACAAGACTGGGTCTTGACCAGAATGATGGATACTGAAGACTGTCCATATGGAAACAATGTGAGGGCATGGAGCATACCCAAATCGGTGACCCAGTCTCACCTACCTGACAACTTGCTATCCCTATTCAAAGCTGTCCTACCTGCACTACCAGACAATGAGTAGCTGATTGATGGAGCCCACTATCTGCCCAAACCAAGGAATATTTTGTTGGACATGTACAAGAGATAGTGGATTCAGCGCTTTGTGTGTCAATGGAATATTACAAAATATGTAAGCATAGGCTGCAACCTAAAGTAAAGACGTTCTCTCACAGTACGTCAAAGAAAAGAGAAAGGTTGAGAAATAAGGGGTATTTTTAGGTCGTGCCACAAAATTAAAATAAATATAAATATAAAACAAGTGACACAAGCATAAATTAAAACAGAATATCTTGATAAAAAACAGAGTGGAAGCAATATAGTAAGTACTTACATATATAACAGAACAATATGTATAAACGAGTCCTTAGATAAACAAGAAGTATTCAGGTTCACTTAAAAAGTTATAAAAAGGGGAATAGTCCAGGCAAAGAAGTGGTCATCAAATTCTTGTTCCAGATGACAATATGTGACTAGAACAGAAGAGAATTCCAATAGTGTAGACTGTAGTTGAAGTTTCTTTATGAAGATACAAAGTGAAAAAATATCGCACTCACCTATTATAGAGTTTGAATTAGCTCAAATGTACTTTGCAATCAACGGTATTGGTCCCCTGCTGATGGGATATAGGCGTATGTACGTAGAGAGAATCCTCGAGAGAAAAGAAGGTGGTACACAGTAGTGCTCACTATATATTTATATATAACGTTGAATAGATGTGTTTATGTATAGAATACTCACATTTGAGTGAGCAGGATATACTGCTCACTTTTATCGTGTAGGTGGTATCATCCCCACCTAGGATTCTTGAGCTACTCAGGTGCTTGTATTAAAATGGATAAAAAACCAGGTCCAGAAATAAAATGAAATAAATAAATAAAATATGGAAAAAACTAGAATAAAAAGGTATATGGCAGAAAAGAAAGAGTATATACTAGCCAATAATCCTTTATTAATATAAAATAAAATAGTAAAATAGCCAAAACGCATTTCGCCACACAGGGCTTTTTCAACTGGCAATTAGAAAAACTTTTGAGGCCGGCAGGGGAGGTCCCAGGAGCTCCCCTGCCGGTCCTTGCAGGGCCAGCGCTATCCGCTGTCTTCAATGACGGGCCGGTGGGGAGATCAAAGATCTCCCTCACCGGTCCACTTGAATAGACCTGCGGCTGTGGAGGGAAAGGAGGACCCGGCGGAGCTCTATCTTGCAGCTCCGCCGGGTTCCTCTCGCGAGATCCGGGGCATTGCCATGGCAAGAGAGAGACTCACCACTAGGACCACGAGGGAAGGTGTGAGAGTCCCGCCAACACCCTCCCAGGTCCACCGTGCCGACCCCCCCAGGCTAAAGGTAAGAAGGGAGGGGGGGATTTTTTTATTTGTTTTTTTACCCCCCAACACACAATCCCTTCTAACATTCACCCACAGCACCCTAAAACACATCACACACAGCACCCTCACACACATCACCCTTACCCACAGCACCCTCACACACAGCACCCTTACCCACAGCACCCTCACACATAGCACCCTTACCCACAGCACCCTCACACACATCACACACAGCACCCTCACACACAGCACCGTAAAACACATCACACACAGCACCCTCACACACATCACACACAGCACCCTCACACACAGCACACACAGCACCCTTACCGACAGCACCCTCACACACAGCTCCCACACATCACACACAGCCCCCACACATCACATACAGCACCCTCACACACAGCACCGTCACACACAGCATCTATCACACACACATACTGCACCCCTCACATACACACTACACCCCTCACAAACACCCACTGCACCACACACACACACACAATACTTCCAAACACACACACTGCACCACACACACACACACAATACTTCCAAACACACACTACAACCTTCACACACACACACACTGCACCCCTTACACATTGCACCACTCAAACACACCACTGCTCCTATACCTTACTACAGCCCCATTTCCCAGCAGATCTCAGGTAAGTTGTCAAACTGTTCTTAAACGGTTTGACTACTTACTGTGGGAGGGGGTCCCGGCACTATTGACACCATAACCACTACACTGAGCTGTAGTGGTTATTGTGTCTGGATTATTTCTTTAAATAATCTACAAGTGCCCCTCCCGAGATCAGGCTCTGGATCCGCCACTGGTGTATATATATATTTACTACACCACACACACACACACAATACTTCCAAACGTATATATATATATATATATATACGTTTGGATATGTGTCTGGGTGATGGCTGTGGACAATCATATACGAAGGATGGTTGGAATATGGGGCGGATGGCTGGAACAATTCGGACGCGATGGTTGGTGGTGTCGAGGCGGTACGGGAACATGCGGTCGGGCGGTTTGGGTGGGCGGCGCATTTTCGAGATCTGCTGGGAAATGGGGCTGTAGTAGGGCATAGGAGCAGTGGTGTGTGTGAGTGGTGCAATGTGTAAGGGGTGCAGTGTGTGTGTGTGTGAAGGTTGTAGTGTGTGAGTGAGGGCGGCAGTGTATGTCAGGGATGCAGTGTATGTGTGTAACAGTTGCAGTGTGTGTGAGTATTGCAGTGTGTGTGTATGGAGGGCAGTATGTGTGTATAGGGGAGCAGTGTGTGTATGTGGGGGCAGTGTGTGTATGGGGGGCAGTTTGTGTGTATGGCGGGCAGTGTGTGTGTATAGGGGCAGTGTGTGTGTATGTGAGGGGAGCAGTGTGTAATATGGGGCAGTTCAGCTAATATTATGGGGGCTGGTTGTGTGTATGGCGGGCAGTTTGTGTGTATGGCGGGCAGTGTGTGTGGGGGGCAGTGTGTGTGTATGGGGGCAGTGTGTGTGTATGGGGGCAGTGTGTGTGTGTGTATGGGGGCAGTGTGTGTAATGGGGAACAGTGTAATATCTTAATGTGGGGCAGTGTGTGTGTGTGTATGGGGCAGTGTGTGTGTATGGGGGGCAGTATGTGTGTGTATGGGGGCATTGTGTGTGTATGGGGCAGTTTTTTGTGTATGGGGGGCAGTTTGTGAATGGGGCAGGAGTGTGTGTGTGAATGGGGGCAGTTTGTGTGTATGGGGCAGTTTGTGTGAATGGGGGCAGTTTGTGTGAATGGGGGCAGTTTGTGTGAATGGGGGCAGTTTGTGTGTATGGGGGCAGTGTGTGTGTGTGAATGGGGGCAGTGTGTGTGAATGGGGGGCAGTTTGTGTGTGAATGGGGGCAGTTTGTGTGAAGGCGGTTGTGTGTATTGGGGGGCAGTTTGTGTGTATTGGGGGGGCAGTATTGGGGGCAATGTATGTGTGTGTGATCAGGGTAGGGTGGCTTTTTTTAAAATTATATAATATTTTTTAATTTAATTAAAATAAATAAATATTCTATGTCCCCCCTCCCTTCTTACCTTTACTGGGGAGGAGGGGGGACATATTTCGATCCCTGGTGGTCCGGTGGGGGATTCCCTGGTGGTCCAGTGTGGAGAGTGAACTCTAGCCCACGCTCCCGGGCTAGAGTTCACTCTCGCGAGATTTGGAGCGTTGCCGTGGTAACCGCGGCAACGCTCCAAATCTCGTGAGAGGAGGACCCGGAGGAGCTGCAGTTTGAGCTCCCGGGTCATCCCTCTCCCTCCCCTGCCGGCTGTCAGCACAGTGCATGCGGACCGGGGAGGGAGATTTCTGATCTCCACCCCGGTCCGCAGGCACATTGCAGGGCTAGCACCTGCATGTGCAGGCAGGGAAGAGGGAGACCGGCGGATTTCTCGGGGGGGGGGCAATTGCCCCGTTGCCCCCCCCCTGGATTCGCCACTGACTTGCACCATATGGTCTAAATGGGGATTTTGATCTTTTTAATTTCCTGTAATTGTAACATACATTATATGCTTTTTACGTTTACCTCTTTTTTTATCCATATAGGTTATATTGTTTTTATTTCATCCTTTATGTACTGACATTTATTACGTTTTATTATTTGTTTTAATCCCTTTTCTTGCCATACAAATACATTTTCCAGTTGTTTGCAATCCCTTTTTACTACAAAATCCCATAATGCTATGCTACTTTACTTATATAGACACATTTTTTATATCCCACCCCTATTTCCTGTGCTTCCAAGCTATTTTGGAGAAGCACATGTCTGCCCCCTATCCTTCCTACATACATTTAACTTTGACTCTCCTAGCCTACGTTTTAGTTTAAAACTGGCTTTCCCTATAGAGCCCTCTATCTACCACCTTTTTTAGGTGTTTTTTTAACCCCCTGACATGAACTGGTGGCTGCCTCTTGGTCATTACTTTTGTACATTAGTTTGTTATATAAATTCCTAGTTTTTATAATGTGTATGCTCCATTTAGTGATTTAATCACACTTACAAATTTTGCATTTTAATTATGCTTTTACGTGTTCTTAAGTTAATTGCATAATTGATCACATGACTGACATCATGTCACCATTTTATTTTTTTACTTGTGTATGCTATTTAAACAGCATATGTCCTCATACTGTAACACTTTGAAAAAGCCTGTCAAATAGGTGAAATCTGCCAATGTGTTACCTTTTTATGGTTTTATATTTTATTTTCATTGAAACCAGTTTGTTTTTTTCTATATTGGACCTTCCTGATTTTATCCAGATGATTCTGACATTGAATACCTTGGTGGGGAATTTGCCACCCATGCCACATGGATTCAGCAAAACCTCTTTTGCTCTCCACTTGCGAGTAGATCTCCTTTTATTACTTTCACTTATCTTAAACAAAGTGCACTATATACATTTTTATTTC